TTCTTAAACTACTCAAGTATTGGGTATCCTAAAGTTCATACAAACAATAAAATCAACCCGGCAATGATATAGAAAAGCTTGGAATCATCTTCTTTCAAAAGGAAAAAAAAAAAAGAAGAGAGAAAACAATATATGCAACACTAGGTACTGACATTTTCAAAGAAGAGAGCCCAGTGGAAAGCTCGGCTGATGTTATCAGCATCCCAGTGAGCGGGAAGACCAGATGACTGATACCCAGATGCCAGAATCAGAATATCCACAAACCCTTTTGTCAGTTTCATCAGTTGTTCAAAGGATATATCAGGGTAATTCCATCCCATTTGTTCTATTCTCGACGGAACGGAGCCAAACCAAATCAAATCCCCAATGCGGGAGAAAATTGACCGTCGGCTTCTTTAGTTTTCCCGCCTGATAGAGCTTCCTACTCTTTTTCATTTTCGCTGCATTCGTTTTATTAATTCTTTTAAATTAATAAAGGTTTTTTTAACCTAAGTATAATTAATTTTTTATTGTCTTAAATTTATATTAAAAATATAAAATTAATATTTAAATTATTAATTATTTAATTAAATTTCTCCATTTGATATTAACTCTAATATTAATGCTAACTTTATTATTTTTTATATATTTCTATAACCAAAAAAATATCATTTAGCACAAGTTAAAAAACTCAATTAAAAAATATTATCGATGTATGAAATTAGTGTAGTGTTGTTTACACTACAATAAATAAAATTTTAAAATAATACCGTATGCTCATATAAAGATTCAGTGACCATAAATTTTTAGAATTAATTACAAATATAATGTTGTAATTTGGTACATTGGAGTTTACTTCTGACGTCGCTTGATACAGATTTTTTTTTTTTTTTCTATTTGCTTAATTAAAACTTTTGGCATTTTTATTAATTAAACTTGGAGAGTCCAATTTTCCTTTTAAAGCGAATTTAAAGGAAGCGTTTTTTGTTGGCCTAAATTGATGGTCACGTCGCCTGAAGGAAAAGTGCAGTCCCAAATATTCTTTTGGACTATTGCACTTAAAAACTTATGGCTTCGAGCTCTCTCACGTGGTTTAAGTGGTTATGTTTCTTCATGTGAGAAGTAAGGTGAAGCATAATACATGATTATCAGATCAACTCTTCGATCGGTACTTAAACAGATACTAACTTATTAACCACGTTTCTTGCAATAAAAAAAAAAAAAGAAAGAAAACTTATGGATTAGAGATAACATTTTATTAGAAGCTAAACTCTTTGTTTCTTTGGTACAAGGGAGTTGCAGAATTAGGATTAAATCGAAAGAGGGATTTGACTAGGTTAATTGAAAACAGTGTGGTTGATTTTTAGGAGGTTTCAACCAATAAGACTTGGGTGGTTTCTAGCTGTTGATTTTCGTTTCTAGCTAATCAACAATTTACACTATGGAAGTAATTTTGAGGTTGTTAGGATCTATTTTCGTCGTGGATGATGTAGAGGATCAAGATCCAATTTTTTTTTTTTTTTTTCAGTACATTGGCCAATGCTTATAGCATTGGATTATCTAGTGGCACGTGGACTACAAACTCCTAAATTATCTTCTTGAAGAAGAGATTGAACCACATGAGGCTATTGAGGAGATTAAGAGGAAAAAATTGAGTTGTTTCCTTCTCAAGGTCGATTTTGAAAAAGCCTATGATATTGTTAGCTGGGAGTTCCTGGATTATATGTTGGATAGGATGAATTTTGGGTCTGTTTGGAGGGGGTGGATCTGCGAATGCTTGCAAACTAACTCAATCTCAGTATTGCTCAATGGTAGCCCAACAAAGGAGTTTGTCATGAGCAGAGGATTACGGCAAGGGGACCCGCTAGCTCCTTTTTTGTTTTTAATTATTGCGGAAGGCCTCAATGGTATCATATCGTCGGCAGTTGCAAAAGAACTCTTCGAAGGGGTCCTAATTGGAGGAGGGGGCTTTTGCATCTCCCATTTGCAGTTCGCAGATGACACCCTATTAATAGAGAGAGCAACGGAAGAAAGTATCTAGACTACAAAATGTATTTTGAGGGCTTTTTAGTTGGTTTTCGGGCTGAAAATTAACTATGGGAAAAGCTCACTGATCAGCATAAATACAAGTGACCTATGGAAAAGGAAAATGGCATGTCTGTTGAACTGTAAAGTGGGGTCCTTGCCATGTAAGTACCTAGGTATTCCTTTGGGAGCGGATGCTAGAAGAGTAAATACATGGAAGCCACTAATCGACACTTTCAAAAGAAAATTATCTTCTTGGAGAGGTCGATACCTATCCTTGGGAGGTAGAATAACTCTCATAAACTCTGTGTTGTCCATCCTACTGGTGTTCTTAATGTCTTTCTATCTCTTTCCAAAAAGCGTTATTAGTGAGTTAGATAAAATTAGGAGAAGATTTCTTGGGGGGGGGGACAACGGAGACAAAGAAGGTTGCTTGGGTTGCGTGAGAGAAGTTTTGCCTAAGTAAGCTCGATGGGGGGTTAGGTATTAAAAACTTATTGTGCTTTAATATGTCATTACTGGGAAAATGGTGGGGAAGATTGATTACCGAGAAAGGGGGATTGTGGAGGAGAGTTTTATCTGACATTTATGGGAGTGATGAAGGGAATTGGTTATCTTACTTAAGGGAGGGTAGATATGTAGGATCGAAATGGTGGAGGGATGTTTGCAAGATAGATGAAGGGATGGTTATTAAAAAGGATTGGCTGAGTTTGGGTTTTGGTGTGGACTTGGGGGATGGCGAGAAGGTTAAGTTCTGGACTGATGTGTGGGTAGAAGGGTATGCTCTATCTAACAAATTCCCTTGTTTATTCCTGCTAGCTACAGATCAAAATTGCAGCGTCAAAGACATGGGATCCTGGTCGAAGGATTGTTGGCAATGGAAATTCTCCTGGAAATGCCCACTTCGTTCATGGGAGGAGGACGTTGAAAAAGAGTTGGTTAAGATGTTGAAATTAAGAGCTCCATCATAGAACAAGGAAGATCGATGGCAATGGCACCTGGAAACTTCAGGGACTTACACAACAAAATCAGCTTACTCATGGATCCTTAAGGGACAACCAAAGCCAGCAATTGACTTCATAAGGGTGTGGAAAGCCTCCATTCCACCTAAAGTAAGTGCATTTTGCTGGCAACTGCTTCACAAGAAAATCCCTACAAAAGATAACCTTTCAATCTGAGGAATTTGCAATGCAAACTCTAATTTAAATTGCTGCTGGTGTGATTCATCAATGGAGATGCCCAATCATATTTTTGCTCAATGCAATGTGGCTTTTAGATTATGGATGAAATGCTACAAGTGGTGGGGTGTGCAATATGTACTGGATAATTCATGTTTAATGCTTTTTGAGCAACATAAATGGCTTGGAGGTCTGAAACTACTTGATAAGGGATGGAACATTATTTGGTTCACAGTAATATGGACACTGTGGTTGGGCAGCAATGAAAAGATTTTCCAGATGAAGGAGACAGAGCTCGACAGATTCTTTGAGCTAGTTCAGATTCGATCTTTCTTCTGGGTAACGAACATTCAAGGTATGGAAGGGTTCTCTTTATTTGACTGGTGCGAGAATCCAACCAAATGTCTTAAGAATAATCCCGTCCAGAAAGATAGTGATTGAACTGGTCTTTTTGTTTTAACTAGTCTCCTTGGAAAGTTGGTTTTATTTTCTTTTTTGGGTGTTCTACCCTCGTTGCTTTAGTGTTGCTGGTTTTTTAAGCAACAAGTTGGTTTTTGTATACGACGGGTTTGAGTACCCCTTGTATTCATCAAATAAATATATTAATATTCTTTTGCCTTTCAAAAAAAACATTAGGGGGTTGTTCAAAATAAAGGAAACCTCCCCCTAGGTAATAAAACTGAGATGACATTGCATCTACACAAAAGTTTCGCTCTTGAAACACATGTTGAATCACACATGTCCAATCTCTTTCCATGAGAGACTTGCAACTCTGAACCCAATAAGTCAATGATGTAATTGTTGTGGAGCTACTTTGTAATTTTTGAACAGCTAAAAGAGAATCTGTCTCCACAATAATCTATCGAAACCCCATGTTCAAAGCTAGCTCCATGTCTTTCCATAATGTGAAAAGTTCTGCACGAATGGCATGGGCATCACCTAGTTGTTGATTGAAGCCAAACAACCAATTTCCTGATGTGTCACGACAACAGCCTCCAGTCGCTGAAGGGCCAGGTGAACTGCGAGCAGAACCGTCAACATTTAGCTTAAAAAATCCACTTGGTGAAGGATCCCAACCTACTTGAAATTCCCTTCTCGGGCCTGCATGATGTTGCTTCAAAAGACAAGCAACCTCTATCAAATGATTCTTCAACATAGACTCCCTACTGCTAGTCTATGTAAGTTCATCATTGAAAGCTGCTCTATTTCGTCCAAGCCAAAGATACCAGCAAACAATTGCAAAGGCCACAGCCCACTCTAAATCAAACTCAATCGTAACATTTGTGCATGAAAGATTATGTTTGATCCAAGTCAAGTGGTACATTTGCTGCCAACAAAGCCAAAGACTATCATTAATCCACCTCTTCCATATCCTTTTAGATACTGGACAACCCCTAAATAGGTGCAGAATATCTCTCGATGAGTATAACAATGAGGACAAGTATCATTTTGTGCAATCCCTCTTGCAAATCTAGCACTATTTGTTAAAACTCTATCATGCAACATGAGCCATATTAAGGACTTAGCCTTTAGAGATGCTGTTAAACTCCATACCTTATGAATGAGATTGTTATAATTTATTTTTCATAATTATTTATTAAAACAATATAGTTTTAAGTTTTTTTACTTTTATTATTATTTTTTTTGTAAATATAGTTAATAAACACTAATCTCATATACATATTACTTATATATTGATTCTTAAAAATAAAAATAAAAACAACATTGTTACCAAATGACCCCTAACTTTTAAAAATTCAAAATTTGGTTAACAAAATAGCAAATGATTTTTTTTTTAATAGTGCATCAAGTGATTCTATGAAGATATAAAGAAAAGAAATTACATTTTGTGATAATCCCAAAATAGAAAACTATAGATGGTATTGAAGGTATCCCAATTGTTTTCTAGTATGACGTAGATGAATGCTAGTAGATAGATTAGATAACAAAGAGCTAAAGTAGAAGTTACCCAGAGATCAAATATTTAAATTTGGATATTATCTATGAATTCAAGCTATTAATTTTTATGTTTTTGGTAAAAGTTATTAATTAATTATTTTAAGTCTTTTTAAACTTTTTTTATTCATAATCAATTTATCTGTTTTAAATTAAAATGGTTAATTTTGATCTTTAAAAAAAGTTCATAAAAATGCCTTGTAAAATTAAAAAAAAAAACCTTAAAATATTTCCAGAGCTGGGACTCGAGCCACGACCAAACGACCCATGTGTAGTCAGAGTATGCATCTCCAAGGATTCTTTATCAATATAATAAACAAAAATCAATAAAACCTTCCAACTTAGTAATGTCCCAATTTTGTGCGATCCATCACCAGATTCTAATTTTTAAACTTAATTTGGATATCTAGAATCACAAAAATCGTAATATTTTTTGAATAAAAGCATAATTTTGATAATCATGCTCACAAAATGTTTTTAGTTTTTTAAAATTAATATCTAGAATGTTTATTTTAATCTTTAAAAATAATTTGTTGTCAATTTTAACAAGTAAATTAAATATTTTAAATTATAAAAAATAATTATTATTAATGATTAGATATCAATTTTATTAATTTTACATACAACACAAATTTAACTTAACTCAACTTTTTGATATCAACTTTAAATTAAATTTAAGTTTAAATTAAATCAAAATTAATTTAAATTTAAATCAAATCAAAATTAATTTAAATTTAAATCAAATCAAAATTAATTTAAATTTAAATCAAATCAAAATTAATTTAAATTTAAATCAAATAACTCACAAATAACTCAACCTATTTACAAGCCCTAGACTGACAAAGGAGAGCATAGCAACCAAATATGTTCTGACAATTTCTTTTTCTTTCTTTTTTTTTTTTAAGTCAGCACTGTACAGGGGAAAGAAAAAAAGGAGACAAGGGACGCATGCCATATCTCCCAGAACAGCTTGTCACCTGCTCCCAACCTGTGGTTTGTAGTGGATCACGTTTATGTTTTGTGGGAAGAAAAGGAGGTAGACTGTGAGAGCGATGAATAGTGGAGGTGCCTTAAAGTGCCAAATGCCACCAGCCTTACCGATTTCTCTCCACTATATTCTTTCACAACCCAAGTGGGTCAGAAGAATTGATGAAATTTCTCCGTAAATCATGATCATCAGGTCCAGTAAACTATCGCTTATAATCAATAAAGCAGAAACTTCAAGAGAAATTAGCTCAAAAAAATCAAGAAGCATTAAATCCAAGAGTGGAACAAAAAATATGAATACGGGGTTTTTTTTTTTTTCAATTAAATCCAGATAATTGTAAGAAAACAAGGTTTCTCTGTACAAATAGAAAGCATACATGGATTGATTCAAGCTAAAGTTGATGAGAAACCTTCTTTACAAATTCCAAGAATTGTTCATGGAAGCAACTCATGAAAAGACCTGTTTGGA